GAACAGATAATGTCCAAGGACAAACATCCAAACATATTTCCATAGTCAAATGGAGGCTATTGTGTTTGTTATCCTTCAAATATTTTTTGCAACACGCACAGTTTTGAGAATTGGGGAATATTCTTGGATATTCCCCAGTTTTGGCTGGGGAATATTTGGTCATGAGACATGTTTAGACCAATCGCGCAAGAGCGAAAATATTTGATGGATTATAATGTAAAGTGCTACTTTTTCAAGGGAAAGCTCTCATTTCCCTTAGAAATAAAGATATGAGGGTCCCACCATAATTCAAAACTTGTCTCTTCTAGACCCTTTGGCCAGGACAAAGTTCACCTCACATTTGAGAAGATGAATTTTAACAGCTTACAGCAAATAAAAATTATTATCATAGGTACCTTTTCCACCATTTTTTCCCTCTCATTGTATTCTTCTTCTGACATCAACTGAAATCAAAAGAAATTTGGGTTTGAATAATGTCAAGGGTACCCAGCCACATAGCTTATCAGTTAAAATTTATGACAATTGGATACCTTCAACCCCTCCCTACCTCTTACTTATAGAATTTTGACCCCCTGAGTGCCTATATGACATACTCAGTAAGTCATGATTTTTGCCCTTCAGATGCCAATATGATATACTGAGCATGTCAAAATTTGAAGAGATTTAGCCAAACCCCCAGCACACTAGAAACAACTTTTATCAGCACCTGAGATTCATTAGGAGGTTTTTGGAGCGTGCTAATTTCATATGGATATCAAATTATGTCAACCTCAGCGAAATTAACTGCACTGAAGAGACACTTCAATGATCTTTCAGAAAATGTGTACTCGTCCATAGTTTAAGTAAAAAAGCTTAATACATGCATTTGAAGTTTTCTTTACTAGACACCCATTTTCAGTGAAAATGGTGTGGCACACAGTATACACAATGGTCTGGCAATCAAGGGGTTAAAAATAACTCATAGCTAGAGGTCCTGAGCAAATTACTGTAAGACTTATATCTAATTGAAGTAATTTTTTTGTGTGTGAGAAAAAGTTTTGAGGAAATTCAAATCAGGAATAAATGATATCAATTTAATTCAAATTAATAGACCTTTCCCGCATTCCAGCAAACAATGGCACCGAGTCAAGGTCAGGGTGGACAAAAATGCAGCAAATGTATGAAAATGTCCACCCCAACCTCGCTCTGGTGCTATTGTTCATATGCACTGACGTGGAATGCGGGAAAGGTCTGTTAACCAAGGTGGTAATTTTTTTCTTGCAGGAAGGGGGGAGGGGATGGGGAGTGGTTGGAGGGGGGAAAGGGGACTAGTGAAAATGACTTTCAAGCCAGTACATCATTGTTACAGATTGGTTTTT